TAAAGCATTAAAAGTCAACATCAAATACTGTATTGTATTACAAAAGGAGTAAATGTGTTAGTATTTGTTAAGCAACAAAGTCTTCAACAACTTTGATGTTTGATATCTGTATGGATATGGAATAAATATTGTTGAAGATATCAAAATAAAATTTAAAGAGGGATGACAATGTTCATTCAAACATTAATTAACATTAATTAATTATCTGAAATATTGTTTTGTATTCTTACATTTTTCTTATATATTAAGACATTTTTGTGTTATCTCTATTTAAGGTAACTGAAGGGAGTGGAGATGTATCTATGGATACCATGTTTATTAACAGTGGTCAAGCCTCGGACAATATTCCTTTAATAAAGAGAGGAAGTAGTCCTAAAGATGGATCACTGAGTGGAGATGAAGGCAGTGGAAGTGATGGAGGCCAGAAGGCAGAGATGGAGGATGCCCAATCAAACTGCTCTAAAGTGTCCAGTGATCTGACCCCTAGTGATGACCGCAGCAACGAGGAAGCGGGTAGCTCCATGAAGGAGTCTGATGCTTCCACCAAGAAAATGAAGGGGGTTTCTTCAGTATCCTCTTCTAATTCATCCAATGGCCACACGAGTCAGGAGGAAGGCTCCAGCGGTCTCCTGGTTAAAGATGCTGAGGTGCTTATTAAAAAACTGTTTGTCCCTCTCAAGGTAAAGGTTAGCAAGCAGCTGGAGACTTTTCGCTATCCTTACTGGCTGATTGAGGCCCATTACAGCCCTCAGGTAGCACTGACCTACAAAATTCCCACTCGTAATCTGGAGGAAGTCCTACGTGAGGACAAGAGAAAGATGACAGACTTTGTCCAGCCTGCAGCAGTCAAACAGCAGCTTTTACAGCTCTTGAGTGAAATTGATATGAAATCTGGGACAAAACTGTCTGTGAATCCAGCTACATCTGCTGCTTACACACAGACATTTACCTCCACACCCATCAACAAGCGTTCTTCTAATTCAGACTCTGCTATGGGAACATTGACTGAAGAAGATTTGTCCACTTCAGATGATAAATCAACAAAGGAGGTAAGAAGTGAGCAGAGAGCTCTGCCCCACAAGTCGATGTGTTCGTCTTCCTTGGCTAGTCAATCAAGCCAAGACATCACTGCCACTGCTGAAACTGGTCATGGGACCATTTCTAAAACAGACTCCAGGGCATCTTTGTGTGAAAAAACAATGCACCTGACCATGGTCAATTCAGCTTCCAGTGTTTTCATGGGAAGTGTTCCTAGTGACAGTAGTGACGTGTCTAGACTCAGGCGGTGCCACAAATCAGGGCCACATACCTCATCGGATTCCATTGTCGAGCCCAAGGCTGGTAACTCCAGAATTGGGTCGATGAGTGCTAGCCAATCAACGGGGACTTTAACTTCGTCTGGCAGCAGCACAAATGTTTCCAGAATGGAGCTTCACCTCCAAGAGAGATTTCAAGCTATTGAGTCTAACAGCCATGCTGGTCAGAAGATAGAAGACATTATCATGAGTAAAGTGTTTGTGCCTATTGAAGCAGTATCCACTACCAGCACAGAGACTAAACCAACCTCAAACATTTTTATTCTCAATGAATAAAAATGTTTAATGTCAACTGGCTTGTTGTCTCCTGTGTCATAACTGTTGGAGAAGATGTGATAGAAAACATTAAAGAAATCATTTCATGTTGACCTCAGTTAAATATTATGCTGAAAGTAATTTGCTCTTGAGAAAGTTTACACTCATTTCTAAATTGTTGGCCTGTCCGAATGTTAACTGTGCTGAATTGTGCTAATATATTTCTTGAGATTATGTTAATATTATGTGCACAGACATGTGGCACAGTAATTCTCTTCACAGACATATTGTTACAAAGCTTCTGATATGTTCCACAAAGAAACATTTGAAAGAAATATCTTGGGCAAACAACAAACTCAGTGACTCCCTGTTAATACATTCTGCATCTCTGAGACACTGCATCAGTCATTTAGATTTTTAAAATTTCATTTTAAGATACCTAAAAAAAAAATATTATTTTAAAGACTTATTTTTGTATTTCTTTTTTTATAACCTATAAAAAAATATTTAATATATTATAAAAGAACACAATCTCATTATCATAAATATAAAAATGTCTTTTGTGCCATAAATTTTATTACATTTTTATTATTTTGATGATTAAGATTGAAAACTGAAAGTCATTTCTATTTTATTATTCAGTTTACAAAGTATCCAACGTCTATGTCTGTAATGTTCCACATATCTGCATACTATGACTATTTTGTTTTAAAGGTATTTCATTTGTATAACAGTATTAGTTCACAAATGAAGTGTTGGTATCTTGTGATAACAGGTGATAACCATTAAAATTGTGTGTCTAATTGTCTATTGAAAGTGGGGTGATTTCATTTGATTAGCAGCAAAATATAAGAACTTACTAGAGGATTTAGTTGAGCATACTATTGTTTGGGAAAGGGGGTGTGCTGGTAATAGAGACAGCTGCAGACCTGAAGTAAAACAAATAATTTTGTCTTTTTAAGAAAATATTGGCATGCTCTACTATTAATTAGGATAGGGGTGACTGAGTGGTAAAGCACTTAGCTTCCTAACTAGGAGGTCTTGGGTTCAAAGCTCAGTGAAGACTGGGATTTTTTTTTTTTTTTTTTTAGGGTTCACCTGAATCACCCAACTCTAATGGGTACCTGATATAATTTGGAGAAAGTACAAGTGGTTGGTAGTTGTGTTGGCCACATGACACCTTTGCTAACCATTGGCCAAAGAAACAGATAACTTTTACATCTTCTGCCCTATAGATTGCAAAGTTTGAAAGGGATACTTAACTACATTACCATTGTTGATGAACTTTATAAATGATACAATCTTTACAACAATGATGCTTTTTGTTTTACCATTAGTTAGAAATATTTTAATAGTATTTGGATTTTTTAAATTTTAAATATCTTTAAACAATTCTAATAAAACAATATTTATCTGATTTTTTAAAGCTTGCAAACAAAAGGCTTTTTACCATTGGAATATAACTCAAAATGTTGATCATCTATAAGTTAAAAATGTTTCAATCTTTCCATGCCTTTATCTTTTAAGATAATTTGGGCTATGCAAGGAAAAACCAAGTTTCACTAGTCTGCTAGTGATAAGTGAAATTAATTTTATAAATTTTATTTCAAACAATTAATTGGGATGTGGTCTGGTCAAGTTAACTTCATTGGTTAGCAGTTTATATGCTTTTAGTCTAGCCAGCTTTACTTACCCTAATAGCTTGAACTGGATGGGATCAGGTATGTTCCAGCCTTACCAAAGATTCAACTCTTGACTCAGTGGGTTGTGACAATGTCCAACTTACCTGTTTTCTAAGTGTATTATAATTTTTTTTAAAAATAACACAAGAATCTTTACTCTTGTCTCCCTTGCGATATACTAGCAATATTCATGCTTCCTTAAGCTAATCAACAGCACATTCTATAATTTAAACTGCTTTAATTTAGGTTATGTTCATGTACTTTTTTTTTACAGTCACTTGGTTGGCTTAACATCCATGCATAATAAAACTTGGCAACCACCTTTTAAGTTATTTCAACCTTGCAAAATGTTTTGGGTGTTACTTCAAAGTTCAAGACAAACTACATCCTAGTCCAAACCTCCTGCAGAATGACAGCAGGCAGGGTATAAACCATCGAGACAACAAAATGACAGTCCAGCATGCATACCACACAACCAGGCAGCCACTTGGTTTCAGAAAGACAAGACTCTTAAAGCTACATCTTTTTGTACAATTATTAATGCGACAGACAGGAAAAAAAAACAATGTTGTCTGTTTTTCTAATAACATTTACATTTTGATTTTAAAAGTGCTGTGTAAAGTGACCTTGACTCTATCCTGCATTGTTTCTCAACTGTCGTAAGTTTTAGAGATGACCACTGCTAGCTAAAAACATTGTGTGACTCTGTGTATGTCTTAGAATTTATGAACTGAACTATGAATTTATTTATTACAATGCTGTGTATCTTAATTTTTCAGACTTGGTGAATACATTTGACTTAATGTGTATTTTTTTTAAATACTAAAATTTAATTGTAAAAGTTTTTTTTTCTCTTGAATATTGTCAGACGTATCTATATATGACTCCTTTCTGCCTCGTACAAGAGTGTGGTGTTAATAATCTTAAATAGGACAAGTGTGTTTCTCTAGTGAAATATAATACATGATGAACATTTTTAAAAAGATGATCTCCTTTACCAAAATAAGGCTTCACTTAGGTTTTTCCAAATTTTTATTTTTTCCAAATCCTCCTATTAGCTTGCAAACTATACAGGTGGACGCTGCATGGACAGATATATTGAATAAAACTGAAATAATTTACCCTAGAAATTTTGCAGTTTATGTATATGTTTAGAGAATAAACTAATTGGCCATAACTCTGGTTTAACCCTTATTATTTTTCAAATATAATCATCTTAAAATTAAATTTGTCCTAAATCTTTTTATTTTGAACACAGCTTCAGGGTAAATTGCTGAATTGATCTAGTTGTATAGTGGAGGAGTTGATTTTTTAAAACTTTTTTTTTATGTTACTTGTTTTAAGTTTGATTTGCAGTTCTTATCCATGAGTTATTATAGGGGTTCTTATCTGAGATTGAAGCCATACCAAGTTCATTTAATTCTTATCTAATTCAGGATATAGTCTAATAGCATAGGACAAAATGGTCGTATTCCACAGAATAAAAGAAGTAATTTGATCTTTTTAGCTTACCGAGTATTATTGTATTAGTTCTTGAGTATGTTTACAAGTTATAGTGATTTATGTATTAATACCACTTTACTTCTTTACTCATGTCTTAAATGATTCACTTGTGATCAATCTTACAACTCTTTTACATTATGTTTAACTTTTTTTTTTAATGTATTCTTGGATGTGAGCTAAAGGCAACTCAAATACTTTTATTTATTTGACCTCTTCCTAATACGTCTTGATGTCTGCTCCACTTTGGAGCTAGTTAGGTATCCAATGAGATGTTAGGTGCAGACCTCCTTGATGTCTGCTCCACTCTGGAGCTAGTTAGGTATCCAATGAGATGTTCAGTGCGACCTCCTTGATGTCTGCTCCACTCTGGAGCTAGTTAGGTATCCAATGATATGTTAGGTGCAGACCTCCTTGATGTCTTCTCCACTCTGGAGCTATTTAGGTATCCAATGAGATGTTAGGTGAAGACCATGCTTTAACACAAAGACCTTCCCTTCACATACCCTTAAGAAACAAACTCACCAAAAAAAACACATAAAATCACTAAAGACACTTTGAACCACTGGCTTACTTACTGTAATATATTTGTAACTTATTGGTTACAGTATTACTGGCTTACAAATGCACCACTGACAAGCTACCCTGCTGAAGTAAGGTGTTGTTTTTTTTAACATATTGATTCATTATTTACAGAATGTACTTTGCTTTTGGACTTTCTAGTTAAGTTATTCAACATTGATAGTTTCCGATTCATGTTCATTTCTTGAAATGTTTGCCCTCCTGCTTGGTAAGATACAATGTTAAAAACATATCCTCTACCCCACCCCCTAATCTTCTTTCCTTTTGAGGTAAATACGAAGTAAACATCTGTTCATTGTCTGTTTTAAATTTAATTTAGCTAATTCGATTATCAATCTCTAATGCATTGTGTTGCAGTGAAGTAACATCAACAATAACATGATCAATGTTGTCTCTGTACAGTCTATTGTGTATCAAAGTTCCCCATTAAGTCTGGCACTTAAGGCTTAGTTCCACATTCTGTTATTATTATTATTAAGTGAGCCTTATTGTGCTAAGGATACATTGAGGAATTTGTTTCATGTAGGACTGAGCTTGTTAATAGTCTCCTGGGCTATTAGATATTTTTGGTGTATATAGGCAGTTATAGAGCTATAATTGCAGCACTAAATGTACAATAAAGTTATATTAATATATACTCGATCTTTTGAGTTAAATTTTTTGGTGTCTTTTTTCATCTTTTAATTTTATCGTATTTATCCATATATATATATATAAATTTAGTCATGTTATTTTCAATGTCATATATAATCTTTTTTCTGGTAACTGACTTTGTTGATGCAATATTCTTTATTTATCATATTTAATAGTTTTGAAAAAAATACGATAAGTAAAAGAAAAGATAAACAAACTAAGGAAATTATTTTATGACATTTATTTTCATAAGAACAAAAACTTGATCCATTTTTAACATGTAGCAAATCTACATCGGACTGATTTACTGTTATGTTAATGACCTGAATCAGCCAGGAAAACCAATGACTTAGTAGATTCTAAGTCTCTAGTTAACATGCACAACTAGATTAACACATGGATAGGGAATGAAACAATTATTTTGTTTTTATGAAGAAAACTTGTCATGTATAAGATAACCGATAATTGAATAAATAAACATCGATGTAGTTCTTATTTGGCCAGTGGCATGTGGAGATACAGAAGCTCACCAAAAAATGTGTGTCATAAGAATGGGGAAATAATGGTTTGGAAGTAACGAAGAAACTAATTCTAGTGCCACTAATTTAGGGTTAAATTGAAATCCTAAGTTATTGTTTTGAAGCATTAAGAATATAGAGTTCGCATGATTAATTTCACTAAATGGAAATTGTACAATTCATAAAAGTCTCATTTTATTTAAGGTTTTGAGCGATTTAGCGGAATTATTTGCATTCATTTCGTTTTTCACCATTGAGAATGATACCAACATTTTTTTTTACAAACATTGACTTAATTGTCCAGTCTAAATATATCCTAACATTGTCTCTAGTCTACTTCCAGGTATGTGATCCTGCGGACTTATCGCTATCATTAGAACCTATTATTTTCTGCAATTGAAAACAAATAATAATCTCACATTTATTCTAAATACCTATTATTGTGGACGTATGTAGTATCACTACACGATTAAACCTTCATCCTCGCTTACGAATTGAAAATTAACACATTAAAGATTGCGATAGGTCAAATTGATAAGATCATATAGATCTACATGATCCGGAGATCCTACCAATATTACAGTTACCTATTTCTTTTTCCCTTTTTAATATTCCACTTTGTACAAGGCTTATATTAACTCACTCTGTCGTTGTGTCTGTCTGGTACAAGTTTTTTACACGTTATTTCTCCCACACCCTTTCTCGGATCAAGTGGAAACTTTACACATTCATATGTTGTACCTAACAAAACATGAATAAAAAAATATTCGCTTGGTATCAAAAAGGGAAATAAATGCTGCTTATTGACACATGGCTGCATATGTGAAGTTATTCCCTTTATTACATTTTGTACATCTTTTTCTTTCTTATTTCCCATTCTTGAATCAAGATAAAATTTTTGATCATTATTCATAGTCGATGGCATGAACCATTAAAAAAATAACCAGTTAGGTAATCAGGTAGTGGTAAGTAATTATTTTTTTTTATAGAAATAGGGAGTCTAATCCTGCAGCATTGAGATATGTGGCAGTGATTTTTTAATTTTTTTCTCTTAGATAAGCTTTGTATAAGAATAAAATGTTAATTTTCGATCACGTTATAATGAACCTCCATCAAGGACAACTGTTCTCCAGGCTCACTTTCACAGACCAACTAACATGGACACTGACACTTGAACTAAAAATAAATTGTAGCAGACAGAAGTGTCGCACTAAACTCTGGCTGACACAGGTGCCACAAAATAACTGTAGTTGACATAAGTACCACACTAAACTGTAGCTGGTAGAGGTACCACACAAAACTGTAGCTGACACAGGTGCCACAAAATACTGTAGTTGACATAAGTACCACACTAAACTGTAGCTGAAACAGGTGCCACACTAAACTGTAGCTGACACAGGTGCCACAAAAAAACTGTAATTGACATAAGTACCACACTAATAAACTGTAGCTGGTAGAGTTACCACACTTAACTGTAGCTGAAACAGGTGCCACAAAATAACTGTAATTGACATAGATACCACAATCATAAACTTTAGCTGGTAGAGTTATCACACTTAACTGTAGCTGACAAAGGTGCCACAAAATAACTGTAATTGACATAGATACCACACTCATAAACTTTAGCTGGTAGAGGTACCACACTAAACTGTAGCTGAAACAGGTGCCACAAAATAACTGTAGTTGACATAGGTACCACACTAAACTGTAGCTGGTAGAGTTACCACACTAAACTGTAGCTGACAAAGGTGCCACAAAATAACTGTAATTGACATAGATACCACACTCATAAACTTTAGCTGGTAGAGGTACCACACTAAACTGTAGCTGAAACAGGTGCCACAAAATAACTGTAGTTGACATAAGTACCACACTAAACTGTAGCTGACACAGGTGCCACAAAAAAACTGTAATTGACATAGGTACCACACTAATAAACTGTAGCTGACACAGGTGCCACAAAATAACTGTAATTGACATAGGTACCACACTAATAAACTGTAGCTGGTAGAGGTACCACACTGAACTGTAGCTGACACAAGTGCCACTAAATAACTGCAGTTGACATAGGTGCAACACTTAACTGTAGCTGGTAGAGGTACCACACTAAATTGTAGCTGATACATGTGCCACAAAATAACTGCAGTTGACATAGGTACCACACTAAACTGTAGCTGGTAGACGTACCACACTAAACTGTAGCTGACACAGGTGCCACAAAATAACTGTAGTTGACATAGGTATCACACCAAACTGTAGCTGACACAGGTGCCACAAAATAACTGTAATTGACATAAGTGTTACATTTAACTGTAGCTGGTAGAGGTACCACACTAAATTGTAGCTGACACATGTGCCACAAAATAACTGCAGTTGACATAGGTACCACACTAAACTGTAGCTGGTAGAGTTACCACACTAAACTGTAGCTGACACTGGTGCCACAAAATAACTGTAATTGACATAGGTACCACACTAATAAACTGTAGCTGGTAGAGGTACCACACTAAACTGTGGCTGACACAGGTGCCACAAAATAACTGCAGTTGACATAAGTGCCACACTTAACTGTAGCTGGTAGAGGTACCATACTAAATTGTAGCTGACACATGTGCCACAAAATAACTGCAGTTGACATAGGTACCACACTAAACTGTAGCTGGTAGAGGTACCACACTAAACTGTAGCTGGTAGAGTTACCACACTAAACTGTAGCTGACACAGGTGCCACAAAAAAACTGTAGTTGACATATGTACCACACTAAACTGTAGCTGACACAGGTGCACCAAAAAGCTGTAGTTGACATAGGTACCACACTAAACTGTAGCTGACACAGGTGCCACAAAATAACTGTAATTGACATAGGTACCACACTAATAAACTGTAGCTGGTAGAGGTACCACACTAAACTGTAGCTGACACATGTGCCACAAAATAACTGCAGTTGACATAGGTGCCACACTTAACTGTAGCTGGTAGAGGTAACACAACATAACTGTAGTTGACAGGGCTGCCACACTTCAACGAGCAGCTCTATAGGATGCTTAAATGCTCGTAGAAAGCCATGAGGAAAATCAAAGATCCGAGAACTCTGGGAGACTTAAAGAAAACTATTGCAGCTGAGTTGGTGTCAAAATAACACTTAGCATTCGACTTAGTCACACAGACAACAGAAAAACTGCGACAAATAAGAAAAAAATAAGAAAAACTACAAATAGTACAAAATAAATACCTTAAACTTTACATCCTAGTCCTATGTGAAAGTCAACCTACCATCAACCCTTTATCTCAGAAATATCAATATATCAATCATTAGTCGTAACTTGAGATAAAACTTCTAAAAGATGCCAATCAAAATTGTGAAGTATTGATACAAATCAACAATTGGTGATGGTTTTTTTTAAACACCAGATTTTTTTTTACAACTGGGTACAACAAACAAAAAAGCTTTTTTTATAACATCAACATAAATTAGGAAATTGGATTTCGAGTCTTTTTAGTTTTTATGGGAGGTTCTGAAAAAGACAAGAAAAAAAATGTCATGAAAATAAACATATTAAAACATTATTGCAATCTCAGTGCAAATACAAAGTTCTATTTCTATCTATCTGTATGTCTGCTTACTTTTTTTCTTTTTTCTATTTTTTGTTTTGCCATCTCGAAGTGAACGATGACCTTGGACATTATTAGAATTTTTTCTATCTGTGAACAAGAATAGAAATAAACTGTAAAAGTATTTTCTTTCCAAATATTAGAAAAAACAACAATACACAAACAAGAAAACAAACACATTGATGTTAGACTTTTTTTTAATGGTTTATATATATATATGTATATAAGCATCTTCATATTTATTGTTTACTTTATGTAATGTGATTTGTTGTGCTTTTTTTTAGGAGAGCCTTTTTTCATAACACAAGTTATGCTTTTGTTAACCCTTAAAGTGCTGAGCTGTTTTACAATGAGTTCATACAAAATGGATTTACAATTCTGATATTTAAAGGTTAAACTACCACACGCGTTTTAAGGGTTAAAGAAAAGGTTTCATTAGTCACCAGTTTGTCAATAGTTTAAAGATGGGCCTACTCTTGTATATCTTTGGCCTTTTACTACATCTTTCGCTCTCTAGTGGCGAACGAAAAAAGTATTTCAAGCGTATCAAAAAATGCTAAGCAAAAAGCTAATTTCTGAAAAAGAATGTTGACCACATAGATTGAGTGAATGTTGTACACATCTATTAAATAGATATCTGTTGGTATTTGTAGCCGGATGCTCTTGTTTTCCAATTTTCCAAACCAGATGAATTCTTCATACGTCTTTTAATATTCCGATTTTGGACTTTAAAAAAACAACATTAAATTAAGTTACACATTTTTATTTAATTTCAATACAATTAGTTTAAAATAGTCGACATCAAAAGAATACAGTTTTTTGCTATTAAGTGACTAAATCGTCCCCATTAGGAAGCATCAGAACCATTCTTGGCACTAGCCAAGAAGAAAAATCCTCTACAATATTCAAGTATATCATTCGTCTGACACATTGTAACACTTCCTTCATCTTGTCTAGAGCTTCTTTTACAGAAAAATGAAAGTACATCGGCATCTTCAAAAATCTCAACTTAATTTCCAATTCTACAAAATTATATAAATTACATGTGAGATTTCAATATTTATGCCTGAAGAATGTCTTCATTAATTATATAGTGACTATTGATTGGCATCGTGATATTACGGTACTAGTTACAAATTCAATAGATTCGATTAAAACATTATTCTGAATCAAAGCAACGTTCCTATACACACATGCAGCTGGTATATAATGGAGGGTAAGGTTTCACGTTTTCCTTGTGATATTAAGTATGATTTTAAGTAGCATTTTAAACCTTTTGATAGAATTTCATTTAAAAATTCAAATATGTTTAGTCGAAATGAAAAAAAAAGGATATAGATCTATTTATTTATTGTGAATAACGTTCTAATATTTAGCCACTGTTGTTTATTTTTTTTAATTGTCAGTTATTCACAAAGTGATTTTTTTTTACTGGTTTAGGCATCTTTGGTTTTCAACACAATCTTGTTGTAGGTGCTATTAACATACTTGTAATTAATGCACATGCTTATCCCTGTGGTGGATTATTATTTCTTGGACGTATAACAGCATACCTTAAAAACAACGTTCGGGCTGTACCTACACTTTGTGAAGCCTTTATATAAGAAACTAGATTCATTCTACTGTACACTTTGTGAAGCCTTTATAAGAAACTAGATTCATTCTACTGTACACTTTGTGAAGCCTTTATAAGAAACTAGATTCATTCCACTGTACACTTTGAACAAATGAAATGTATAGATATTTTCATTCCACCTCCTTGAACTGTACAACCAGTACGCGGTACTATGTGGGAAATGGATTTTTAGGCAAATGCTTTGTTATAGCCTTTTGGAGCCGGCAAAATTTACCACTTAAAACCAATTTCCCATTAATTTTGGGGCAGCCGCTCGATCTAGTCCACTTCTCGGTACCCATTGTGCCTTCTCTTAGACAACAGAGTATGACTAAAAAAATGATTGACTGGTTTAAAAAAAAAAAAAAAAAAAAAAAACCATTACCTATGCCTCCACAAGGCTGACACTCACAACGATGTAAGACTGGTATATAGGCCAGACTCTTCTGTCTTAATGGACACTCCATCTCTACTATTTTCATGGTTTCTAGTTTACCAATACAGCACCTAAGACAAAGAATACATCATCATTGATCATTGAAATATTCTATACCACTACGCCCAAGACTCGGATTGCTGCTGTTTATATCCAGGCATGAGCAGAAAAACATTTGCCTTTATCTTGTCCTTTAAATAAGATACTTTTTTTTCAAAATAGACTAGAACAACGTTGTGTGTGTATCCAGGTATTAATCTAGTCTGGAATGTCATCAAGGACTTTAAAAGTCATTGTTTTTTATTTTTTTTTTATAGGCAACACGTTCTATGTTGTAATAACACCAGGGAAGAAGTTGATACGACTTTGTCCTAGTATATGAAATAAGAAATGTGCCTTTGTTTTTCTGATTAACTTTATAGGTTTGTCTTTGTACTTGTAAGATATGGCTCAGTGTTTTATGTATTATTATGACTTTTAATTTTTAGTCTTCCTCCTTGAAGTGTCACTCCCCACTAAGTTTAGTGATTTCACTAACGAGAATTTTTTTTATTCAAACTTGGAAAAAAGTTTTTCTTAC